TAACCAATCAGCACTCAGTAGCAGTAATGCTAACCAATCAGCGCTCAGTAGCAGTAATGCTAAAAAATCAGCGCTCAGTAGCAGTAATGCTAACCAATCAGCACTTAGTAGCAGTAATGCCAACCAATCAGCTCTCAGTAGCAGTAATGCTAACAAACCAGCGCTCAGTAGCAGTAATGCTAACCAATCAGCACTCAGTAGCAGTAATGCCAACCAATCAGCACTCAGTAGCAGTAATGCTAAAAAATCAGCGCTCAGTAGCAGTAATGCTAACCAATCAGCGCTCAGTAGCAGTAATGCTAACCAATCAGCACTCAGTAGCAGTAATGCCAACCAATCAGCTCTCAGTAGCAGTAATGCTAACAAACCAGCGCTCAGTAGCAGTAATGCTAACCAATCAGCACTCAGTAGCAGTAATGCCAACCAATCAGCACTCAGTAGCAGTAATGCTAACAAATCAGCGCTCAGTAGCAGTAATGCTAACCAATCAGCACTCAGTAGCAGTAATGCTAACCAATCAGCACTCAGTAGCAGTAATGCCAACCAATCAGCACTCAGTAGCAGTAATGCCAACCAATCAGCACTCAGTAGCAGTAATGCTAACCAATCAGCACTCAGTAGCAGTAATGCCAACCAATCAGCACTCAGTAGCAGTAATGCTAACTAATCAGCACTCAGTAGCAATAATGCCAACCAATCAGCACTGAGTAGAAGTAATGCTAACTAATCAGCACTCAGTAGCAGTAATGCTAACTAATCAGCGCTCAGTAGCAGTAATGCTAACCAATCAGCGCCCAGTAGCAGTAATGCTAACAAATTAGCGCTCAGAAGCAGTAACGCCAACCAATCAGCAAATCAGTAGCAGTAATCAGCTCTCAGTAGCAGTAATGCTAACCAATCAACTCTCAGTAGCAGTAATGCCAACCAATCAGCACTCAGTAGCAGTAATGCTAACCAAACAGCACTCAGTAGCAGTAATGCTAACCAATCAACTCTCAGTAGCAGTAATGCTAACTAATCAGCGCTCAGTAGCAGTAATGCTAACCAATCAGCGCCCACTAGCAGTAATGCTAACAAATTAGCGCTCAGAAGCAGTAACGCCAACCAATCAGCAAATCAGTAGCAGTAATCAGCTCTCAGTAGCAGTAATGCTAACCAATCAACTCTCAGTAGCAGTAATGCCAACCAATCAGCACTCAGTAGCAGTAATGCTAACCAATCAGCACTCAGTAGCAGTAATGCCAACCAATCAGCACTCAGTAGCAGTAATGCCAACCAATCAGCGCTCAGTAGCAGTAATGCCGACCAATCAGCGCTCAGTAGCAGTAATGCCGACCAATCAGCTCTCAGTAGCAGTAATGCCAACCAATCAGCGCTCAGTAGCAGTAATGCTAACCAATCAGCGCTCAGTAGCAGTAATGCTAACCAATCAGCGCTCAGTAGCAGTAATGCTAACCAATCAGCGCTCAGTAGCAGTAATGCTAACCAATCAGCTCTCAGTAGCAGTAATGCTAACCAATCAACTCTCAGTAGCAGTAATGCTAACCAAACAGCTCTCAGTAGCAGTAATGCTAACCAATCAGCACTCAGTAGCAGTAATGCTAACTAATCAGCACTCAGTAGCAGTAATGCTAACTAATCAGCGCTCAGTAGCAGTAATGCTAACCAATCAGCGCCCAGTAGCAGTAATGCTAACCAATCAGCACTCAGTAGCAGTAATGCCAACCAATCAGCGCTCAGTAGCAGTAATGCTAACCAATCAGCGCCCAGTAGCAGTAATGCTAACAAATTAGCGCTCAGAAGCAGTAACGCCAACCAATCAGCAAATCAGTAGCAGTAATGCCAACCAATCAGCAAATCAGTAGCAGTAATGCCAACCAATCAGCGCTCAGTAGCAGTAATGCCAACCAATCAGCACTCAGTAGCAATAATGCTAACCAATCAGCACTCAGTAGCAGTAATGCTAACCAATCAGCACTCATTAGCAGTAATGCCAACCAATCAGCGCTCAGTAGCAGTAATGCCAACCAATCAGCGCTCAGAAGCAGTAATGCCAACCAATCAGCGCTCAGAAGCAGTAATGCCAACCAATCAGCGCTCAGTAGCAGTAATGCTAACCAATCAGCGCTCAGAAGCAGTAATGCCAACCAATCAGCGCTCAGAAGCAGTAATGCCAACCAATCAGCGCTCAGTAGCAGTAATGCTAACCAATCAGCACTGAGTAGCAGTAATGCCAACCAATCAGCTCTCAGTAGCAATAATGCTAACCAATCAGCGCTCAGAAGCAGTAATGCCAACCAATCAGCGCTCAGTAGCAGTAATGCCAACCAATCAGCACTCAGTAGCAGTAATGCCAACCAATCAGCGCTCAGAAGCAGTAATGCCAACCAATCAGCACTCAGTAGCAGTAATGCTAACCAATCAGCACTCAGTAGCAGTAATGCCAACCAATCAGCGCTCAGTAGCAGTAATGCCAACCAATCAGCACTCAGTAGCAGTAATGCTAACCAATCAGCACTCAGTAGCAGTAATGCCAACCAATCAGCGCTCAGTAGCAGTAATGCCAACCAATCAGCGCTCAGTAGCAGTAATGCCAACCAATCAGTGCTCAGTAGCAGTAATGCCAACCAATCAGCGCTCAGAAGCAGTAATGCCAACCAATCAGCGCTCAGTAGCAGTAATGCCAACCAATCAGCTCTCAGCAGCAGAAATGTTAGTATCCTGCTGCTCAAAACCTGTTTACTGTAGTAAAGGTAAACTGTAGTTTACTTTCTGTAAAAATAGAAATTCGCTGATAATACATTATTTTATTTTCCCCAAATTAAAGTGAGCTCCCACATTAATGACTAGAAACACTTTTAATTTTCCATTTTTAGCCATTTTGCTCCACTCAACCCCATTTATTAAGGACTTGCCGGCTCCCTTTAAGACTTTCACTGTCATATTCTTTGACATAACTAGAAAAATAGGAAGTGTGTTGCACAGACAGAACTGTGAATGATAGTGACAGTAGCCAATTACACTAATAATAGTTGATAGATTAATCGCTCATAAAAATAATCATTAGTTCCAGCCCAACTGCGGAGCAGCTTAGCACAAACACTCGCTGCCTGACTGTCTGCTCGGCTCAGCAGGGGCCCAGATCCCCTCGCTGTAGTGCAGGACGCAGTAACTGCCCATTAGCTTCTATTACGAGCAAGTTTGGAGTCAAAGGGTTTTCTGTTCTTTTGTAAGTGCAGGGAAGCGCGTCTGCGGTAATCAACCACGCGGCACAGACGCGGCCAGAGATTAGTTTAAAAAAAATAAAAATAGCGCTGGAGTTTTCCTTTAACAGGCCCTTTTCCTGTTTCCCATCTCCTGCTAAATGTGAGCTCGTTAATTCCGGGAGGTCAACTGCAGCAGCTAATAGACTGATTTGCTGTGTGTTAAGTAGCTACGTTCCCCGTTTCAGATTCAGACGAAGGATAAAGTTAATATCCTCTCAGCTTCAACCCAATCAGATGGGATTTACCCAAGGCCAGCACAATCTCCCGCTCCGCCGCCAACAGCAGGACAAGAAATAAATAAACTAATCTCAGCTGGATTAAAAGGTGCATATGGAAATGCCTGTGTGCGGTGTTTTAGCATTATGGCTAATCTTTATTTTGAAGGCTAATCTCTGACTCCTAACACACAGAGATAAAGCACACACACCACCTCCGCCCATTCAGACCGAACAAAGAGCTCCTGACGAAAACTTTTAAACTTCTAGAGCTATTATAGTGTGTTACACAGTCAATTTACATAAAGGCATGAATAATATATATGAAATATATAGTTTTAATAAAATTCATTACATTTCAGTAGAAATGAATAAAATCATGGTAGTTACTGAAACATTCTTAGCTGATGATTCATAGTAGGTACTGAATAATTCACAGTAGATTCTGATTAATCCATAGTAGGTGGTGAAAAAAATGATAGTAGATGGTGAAAAATTGACAGTTACTGAATTATGTGCAGGACTTACTGAATAATTTATAGTAGATACTGAATAATTCATAGTAATTCATAATTCAATAATTCATACTGAATAACTTGCAGTACTTACTGAATAATTCATAGTAAATATTGAATAATTCATTGTAGATTCTAATTAATTCATAGTAGATGGTGAAAAACTGATAGTAGTTAATGAATAATTTGTAGTATTTACTGAATAATGCAAATTATATACTGAATAATCCATAGTAGAGACTGAATAATTCATAGTATGTACTGAATAATGCATATTACATACGGAATAATTCATAGTATGTACTGAATAATGCATATTATATACTGAATAATTCATAGTATGTACTGAATAATTCATAGCATGTACTGAATAATTCATAGTATGTACTGAATAATGCATATTATATACTGAATAATTCATAGTAGAGACTGAATAATTCATAGTATGTACTGAATAATGCATATTACATACGGAATAATTCATAGTATGTACTGAATAATGCATATTATATACTGAATAATTCATAGTAGAGACTGAATAATTAATAGTATGTACTGAATAATGCATATTACATACGGAATAATTCATAGTATGTACTGAATAATTCATAGCATGTACTGAATAATTCATAGTATGTACTGAATAATGCATATTATATACTGAATAATTCATAGTATGTACTGAATAATGCATATTATATACTGAATAATTCATAGTATGTACTGAATAATTCATAGCATGTACTGAATAATTCATAGCATGTACTGAATAATTCACAGTATGTACTGAATAATGCATATTATATACTGAATAATTCATAGTATGTACTGAATAATGCATATTATATACTGAATAATTCATAGTATGTACTGAATAATTCATAGTATGTACTGAATAATTCATAATAGCTGCTGAATAATTCACAGGTGTGAATAATTCATAGTAGACACTGATTAATTAGAGTGGTGGTCACTCTGTGGGGGACACTGGAGGATTTGCTAACCTTCATCTCTGCCGGTCTGTAGTATCTCCGGTTCTTGTCCTCGTTGGCCGTCCTGTAGCCATCTCGGAGGAAGCGCTTGAAGCCATACTTCCCCTTCAGCTTCCGGACGATCTTGTCCAGCGTTTGGCTGTAAAGAGCGTCGTCGTCCACTGCGAAGGCTGGGTAGCTGATACAGGGCAAGAGGGCAGCATCCGTGTTCTAAAGAACAACAAGAGACACAAATTAGCCTTTTTCTGCCCCTTTCGTCCTTCATTATCAGATCCTTTCCCTATGAACCTCCGTCTCTACACCCACGACCTTCTACAGCATCAGAATCACGTTAGTATTACTACACCTGAGTGTATGGGGAAGTAGGCTTGGTCAAGCTGGTGCTTATGGAAATGGACAGTACAGGATTAGGTAAGGCTGATATGTTGTTGATGTGTTACTGATAATCTGTTAAGAGTTTATTAATCATCTACTCCACTCCAAATAAAGTGTCATCATGACCTCTAAAAGTTTCATATCTAGAACGTTTTAGTCATTTTAATATAACTTAGCTATACTCTAATTTGTCCAGTTAATATGAAATATAAATATACTTTTAATAAAATTCATTACATTTCAGTAGATACTGAACAAAATCATGGTAGATACTGAATAATTCATAGCTGATTTTAAAAACAATGTAAAGTTTACATTGAATAATTCATAGTAGGTACTGAATACTTCATAGTGGATACTAAATAATTCATAGTGGATACTGAATAATTCATAGTGGATACTAAATAATTCATAGTAGGTACTGAATAATTCATAGTGGATAGTAAATAATTCATAGTGGATACTGAATAATTCATAGTAGGTACTGAATAATTCATAGTGGATACTGAATAATTCATAGTGGATACTGAATAATTCATAGTGGATACTGAATAATTAATAGTAGGTACTGAATAATTCATAGTGGATACTAAATAATTAATAGTGGATACTGAATAATTCATAGTGGATACTGAATAATTCATAGTAGATACTGAATAATTCATAGTGGATACTGAATAATTCATAGTAGGTACTGAATAATTCATAGTGGATACTAAATAATTAATAGTGGATACTGAATAATTCATAGTAGGTACTGAATAATTCATAGTGGATACTAAATAATTAATAGTGGATACTGAATAATTCCTAGTAGATACTGAACAATTCATAGTGGATACTGAATAATTCATAGTAGGTACTGAATAATTCATAGTGGATACTAAATAATTAATAGTGGATACTGAATAATTCCTAGTAGATACTGAACAATTCATAGTGGATACTGAATAATTCATAGTAGGTACTGAATAATTCATAGTGGATACTAAATAATTAATAGTGGATACTGAATAATTCATAGTAGGTACTGAATAATTCATAGTGGATACTAAATAATTAATAGTGGATACTGAATAATTCCTAGTAGATACTGAATAATTCATAGTGGATACTGAATAATTCATAGTAGGTACTGAATAATTCATAGTGGATACTAAATAATTAATAGTGGATACTGAATAATTCATAGTAGGTACTGAATAATTCATAGTGGATACTAAATAATTAATAGTGGATACTGAATAATTCATAGTAGATACTGAACAATTCATAGTGGATACTGAATAATTCACAGTAGGTACTGAATAATTCACAGTAGGTACTGCATAATTCCTCAGAACATACGAGACACTGATTAAGCTAATTTTCCTGCAGGCTGCCACGTTACAGATTTTGTATCTGGTATTAAACACTGTAACGTACATGTGATCGACTCTCTCTGGGCAGCAGGGAGCAGAGGGTCTGCCGGTTGCGGTTGTGAGCATCCAAATCCACGAAAATCACCGACCAGGAGCATCCCTGAAGAGCAGAAACACACAGGCAGCATGATTACCTCTGTGTTCGAGTCAGCACTGCTGCTTGGGAGACGTTCAACAGCGTCTTCTGCTGCAGCTGATAGCAGCTTTGGCGTACGAGCACAATGGCAGTGAGATGACATTTTATAAACCAGCCGTTTGCCACAAAGTGACGAACATCACCATTTGGATTACTATAAAAGCTCAGGGGACATTTAAAAAAATCTTTTTTGCAGCAGACAGTTTGCAGCTGGTATTGTCCAATTTAGTCTTGGATGAGCACAAGATGCTCTGAAAGCAAATTAGAAGCAGCTAACAAAAGCCCAAAAGCCACCGAGCTCCCACACAGCACTTACTGAAATGGGACCGAATTCAAAAGCCAAAGTAGCTGATGGGACTGCAGTGGCATTGATAAGTGCGCTTATATAAGTGTACTGATAAAACAGAGCACCGATCGTGATGTGAACACAGCAGTGGGTAGCCTGAGTGTCAGAGCCAGGCCTTTAGCCTTTGAATCAATCAAATAAACACTTCTACAGTAATGATCATTTCTGATAGCATCTCTTTATGATTCTGATAGTATGTTAGTGCAAACCTAATGTCGATTCACATAAACATGTTTTGGCTATTAGTAAAAGTTTGTAAAAGACTCCGTATGTTTTATTTAAAGCTTGTAAGAGACATTAACATGTAACTGAGTATCAGTTGTCCAGTGACTCAGTAAAGAGTTCTGCCGCCACTGTTTTCCATTCCTAACAACTGACTGAAACCTGCTTAGTCTACGACTCATATTCACAGTCAGTGATGTATCTAGAACTTCTAGAAGGCCTAGAGTGACTTTTTCCTCACTAAAATTGGTCTGACTGTAAAACACAGCGTGATTGTTTGATTCCTCTGTCACCTCCTAATTATGTTGGTAGCTAATCTAATGTGTGAGGCCTTCAGTCCAGCTCCTGAAGTCCTAACCAATAGGAGAGCTCGCTCGGCTGTAACTACCTAGACACCACAGAGAAAACTATCCTGATTGGGCAATTTTCAATTGCGCGTCTCAAGAATTTAACCCTTTTATTCCGAACAAAATGTAAGAATTGAATAAGAGAATTATTATAGCTTTCAATTCAACAAGTATGATGATTCTTTTAAATAAAAATGAGCTAAAAGATGTTCTGAAAACCTGGAAGGTTCTAAAGGTTTCACCTTGGAACACAGATATTTGGTTCCTACAAACACAGTAAAATCAGGAGTATATAAACACACATACACCAGGTGTGTAAATGACCTTACGAATGAATTTGATTCTGATTCGCTAGGAAATGATTCAGTGCAATGATTTGATTCAATTCACTTTGATTTGATTCAGAATCATTTTTAAAAAATACATAAAATACACAAAAGTAACTGTAAAAGCTATGAACACTGTAGTGGAATATACATTAGAACATATTACAGCAAGCGTTTTTGATTTGAAGTTTAAAACCAGGCCAAGAATTTTATTGGTGCCTTCTGAATATTATTATAATTGATTATCACGTATTCTAACACGCAAAAATGGATGCAGTTGAACTTCCAGAACTACGTACAGCACTGTGCCAAAGTCAGAGACCCATTCAAGTTTTTCAGTTTTCAGCATCAGAAAAAAAAGCAGAAAATTACACAGAATTTGAAACAACTGAATATAATATCAGATACTGATTGTGTGTCACTCTTCCCCTTTATTCCAGCTTCCATTCTTTTCAGGAGACTCACTTTCAGCTCCTCAAAGAATCTGCAGACACACCTCCAAAGTTCAGAAGCTGGTTGATCTTTTTCTGAAGTAATCAAACCCATTCAGTGGTGTTGAGGTCTGGACTCTGGGGTGGTCAGTCCATCGTTCAGCTTCTTTGTTTGACGTGTCCGTCTCCTTTTCTCAGTGAGGTTCTTCTTGAACAGCCACACATCCTTTCAGACCCACAGCGCTGAGTCGTCTTCTCACAGTGGAAGGATGGACAGAAACACCTGTGGATGTTTTCAGATCTGAAGCAGTTTGATTTTCTCCTCTCTCTCAGAGATGAAAGCTTTAAGTGCTGTTTATCTGATGGGGGCAGTTTTGGGGTCTCCCAGGTCTCCCAGGTAGTTGTTAGGAGACACATTTCCTCTTTTTTTCCAGGAATATCTTGTACTTAATGGCTGTTATGACTGAAATATTAAATCTCAGACTTACACAATACTGTATTATAACACATTCAAGTATTTTTACAGCCCTAACACACACCAACACATGAGCACACGCCTGCAGGGAGCTCCAGTCCTGTGTCTGAAAGGTGTCCCTGAAGGCAGCTCGACTGGACTAATAACCATCCTGAACCCCATGAGTCTTCATTTTGTTTTGCTCCACTAAAGCAGTCGGGCATCGCCGCAGTCCAGAGCCGCTTCGCTGCTTATTTTTCAGACTGCAGATCCCGTCGGGTGAAGATGCACAAATACAGGCTGGAGAACTCAAAGAAAGAATTAACGGCTAAATGAGCTCAACGCTTGAAACCTGCGCTGTTTCTATATCTGTATCTGCGCCACATTTTAATTCCTCACTATCATAACTACAGAACCTATACAGTAGTTTACAGTGGTCACCTGACAATTCATAGTAGATCCTGAATAATTCGTATTAGCCATGGAATAATTAGTAGATAATAAATAATTCATAGTAAATACTGAATCTTTCATGGTAGTTACTTAATAATTTATAGCAGCTACTGAATAATTGATACTACTTACTGAATAATTCATAACAGATACTGAATCATTTTTAGAAGATACGGAATAATTAGTAGATGATGAATAATTAAAGAGTAGATACTGAATCTTTCATGGTAGTTACTTAATAATTTATAGAAGCTACTGAATAACTCGTAGTAGATACGAAATTTTTTTAAGTAGATACTGAATAATTTGTAGTAGCTATGGAATAATTAGTAGATAATGAATTCATAGTGGATACTGAATCTTTTATGGTAGTTATTTTATACTACTAACTGAATAATTCATAGTAGATACTGAATTATTTGTAGTACCTATGAAACAATTAGTAGACAATGAATAACTCACGGTAGACAGTGAATATTTCATGGTACTTAATTTATAGCTGCCAATAAATAATTTGTTGTAGATACTGAATCATTTTAGTGGATACTGAATAATTCACAGCAGACAGCGACTAATTCATGGTAGATACTGAATAATTCATGGTAGTACTTAATAATTTATAGCAGTTGCTGAATCATTTATAGTAAATATTGAATAATTTGTAGTAGCTATGGAAAAATAGTGGATAATGATTAACTCATAGAAGATACTGAATCTTTTATGGTAGTTACTTAATAATTCATAGCAGCTACTGAATATTGCATAGTAGATACTGAATATTTTATAGTACATACTGAATAATTCATAGTAGATACTGGATATTTTATAGTACATACTGAATAATTCATAGTAGACAGTGAATAATTCATAGTAGACACTGGATATTTTATAGTACATACTGAATAATTCATAGTAGATACTGAATCGTTCATGGTAGTTATTATTAATTTATAGCAGCTACTGAATAATTCATAGTACTTACTGAATAATTCATAGCAGACAGTGAATAACTCACTGTAGATACTGAATAACTCACAGTAGACTGACTAATTAGTAGCAGGTAAAAGTGAACAGCACTTAATGAACAATAAGCCTTGAGATCAGTAACCGAATAAGAACCGCACGGTTGCAGTTTAAGGGGTTAAAACTGATCCAAATTCATGGCGCATGTTCCAATAAACTGAACAACAGCTGCTACCAAAAAGCATTTCAGAAATGGCATGAAAATGACACCTGACGCCTCCACACAAGCTTCGACAGAGGCAGCGTTATGTAACATTTTGTGCCGTTTTCGGCTGCTGCGAAACTTTCCTCGGGGTTTTTGAGTTCATTTTGTTTTCCCATCAGGTAAGCGCCCTGAGTGGGAGCTCCCTGGCCATCAAGGGCACTCCAATCATTTCAGCAGCGTGTCCAATTATTCCCCCGTAGCCTCTTCATGTCCGCTGCAGCCCCTTCACCCACACTTCTTCATTTCAGAGCGAGTCTACTCTCAGCCCGGCCTCATTTCCACCACCACACACACACTCACACACACGCAGCAGGTGCCGTTCAGGATGCGCTTAACCCATCAGCGAAAATAACAAAGAGCTAAAGCACCTCTCCTGCTCTCAGAGCTTTCACAAAAACTCCCATCTGCATGCTGGAGGGCACTGTACAGTGTACACATATTCATTTAGATGTCTAACCGCACAATGCTAAGAGGACTGTGGAATCATATGCAGTGCATATGTGAAGTGCTGTGGATATTGGACTACGGCGTGAGATAATGGAAGAAGGGCCGTTTGTGATTTGTATGCGCTGAGGGAAATGGAAAAAGGCAGGAGATGCTGCTGGAGGTGGTGGATCTCTAATGCACTGACATACATTAAAGGGCCCGTTTCATGGAAATCAATGTGCCTTCCTTTTAAATAAAGGTGCACTAGACCAACAGTGGAAAAGGTCCAAAATGTACCATTCACTACCCAGAACACACAGCAGCTGTAAAAACACTGTAAACACAGTTTCTTCTGCCACGGCCTGTTTAAGATTTGAGACTGTATAGCAAGGCTTCTCTTCAACTGGATCATTAGTGATGTCACAACCATGGATGATGAAACAGTGTTTTTACAACGCAATGCATGCCTGATAACTAAACTGCCAAAATTCATCATGGTTGTGATATCTCTATCATAAGCATAGTTGCAACATAGTTTAGCTCCACCATTCAGCTACAGCAGTTTAGCTCCACCCATTCAGCCTACAGCAGTTTAGCTCCACCCATTCAGGCTACAGCAGTTTAGCTCCACCCATTCAGCCTACAGCAGTTTAGCTCCACCCATTCAGGCTACAGCAGTTTAGCTCCACCCTTTCAGCCTACAGCAGTTTAGCTCCACCATTCAGCCTACA